CTCAGAAGTTCTGGAGACTCACACAGAAGTCAGCAGGTGCTCTAGGTTTCTGGCCCTTCTCAGCATCAGGCTCTTTGTACCTCTAGTCCTTGCAACTGGAGAGCTTCTTGAAATGTGAGAGAGCTTTTGCAAAGCACAAATTCATTGTTTTATGCCCTCATCTGTCCTTTTGAAAGGTGTGACAGCCAGAGACATGCTCACCTGAATTTTGCTCCTTTCCCTTCTCCCTACAAGGATCTGCAACAATTAATCCCTTGAGTTAGCACTGTAACTGGAGAGTAACTGAGCAATTCTTCATTATTCACCTGTCCTACAGGATAATAAGGCATACCAGCTTGCTGGAGACACCCTGGTCTATAGTGGTCACTACAACATTGCACTATAACGCAGTGTTCTGAGGAAACTGGGTGAAAGCTGTGGTTGAGATGAGTAGGTTTGGGGTTGTTTGTATTAAATATGAACTTTTGCTTTGTTAAGTTCAACAGCTATTATAAAAAACAATGAAATTATCTGCAGAGACACATTGAGTAAGTATATCATAATAATCACTAGAAGCTTATAGTGTGAAGGTTTAAGGTAACATTTCTGAACTGTGTTACTATAACAGAAGAAAGGTAAGTGAGAAGATATTATACTTCTAGTAAGCATTTAAAAGACATTCCTTTAGACCTGGTGAGGGAAGTGATACATATAGATGAATAGTGATATATGTGGACATACCCAGATTCATCAACAACTGGTACCTGGTCGAATCCCTTCTCCCGGAGAATTTCAACAGTCTTTGCACAGGTAACAGTTGGAAGCACAGTCAGGGGAGCAGAGAGGCTTAGCTCCCGAACACTGATGTTCCACCACCTGGGAATGAAATAAAAAGACCCAAACCCATGCAAGTCTTACAGAGAGAAAAGAACCAGTTGTTCATGTACAGTGACCTTCAGCACTATGACAAAAGGCTGCAAGGAAGAGTCAGCATTCAGCCAGAGTCAGGAAAGCTGCAAGGCTTTCAAGTTTTCTCCTCAATATTAGAAAGTCACTGAAATGTGAGAAGGTTTTAACACCAAAATTCTTTTCCTTATCTCATCTACTTTCTAGGATTAGACATAGTGGAGAATACTCATCTCCTTAGTTTCATTATTTATATCTTACACAGAAAACTTCTTGCTCCTACTCAAAGAGCTAGCCAGTCATTATAGGTCGCAATTTAGGGAAGCTGTCCTTCCACCTACGTAGACTTGCAGTGCTTTGAGCTCAAGAGCTCTGATCTTGGAAGAGTTCTCTGTATACTACTTCTTCATTTCAGATACAATCCTTTTCATAAAAAAAAAAAAAAAATCATTAAGTACCAAGTTTTTTCCTGCTGCCATGTAACCCAAAGAAGGAAATCCACTAATTTAAGCAGATTTGATTAACAGCTGCAATTATACATCAGCACAATAGCATGAAACATTAGTTAAATCAAAGGAAGCAGTGTAAATTGAAATGAGCTTTAAATTAGCAACTGCTATAAAGTTGACTGAATAGACTCATGAAAATCCAAATGGATCTGACACGCTTACCAAGGTTTGTTGACAAGGTCATCTTCTTCTTTCATGAACCCTTTCTGAATCATCCATTTGTCACTCAAGAACTTGGACCTGGAAAGCATCAGGAAGTGAAAAGCTCATTAGCAGGCTGAGCATCTGACAGCAAACCCAACAGCACACAGAGGCAACTGTTTACAGCTCACTACCACTAACAACTGAAGCATAATTGAAAATATACTGCCATTTGCCATCCAAGTTCACCAGCCAAGGACATTGAGAAGAATTACTCATAGGAGAAAAAAAAAAGGAACGTCTTAGGAAACAACTACATCAGTTCCTTGCAACACAACAGAGACACAGCCTGGAATGGAGAAGTGCCAACCTGTACTCAGGCAAGGGGTGCCTGCAGTTTCTAGTCATCTAGTATTGTGTTGGATGCAACAGAAGTCAGAAACACAGCTAAAACCATCGCGTTTTGGGATATGTTTCAATGCAGTAGGAGAGAAACTTCTCAGCACAGCTCAAAGCCCTCACACTTCCACCTGTAAACTCACTCCAACACTGGCTACTGCTACAGTAGTGGTGTGTTCTGCTGTGGACACAGGTAGAGAGAGCAGACAGCCTTACAGGGACCCTTCCAGGAATGAGATAATTCCAATGGTCCCCAATAAATAAAACAGTGAAAACAAGTCTTTTCCTGTGAAAGATGCTAACCAGTGATGGTTATACACTGAAGTCAGATGCAAGGAGGAGCTCAGCTTTCAGAGGACTAAGCTCCTTTCCACTCCATGTCAGATCCTTTCTAGATACCTCAGAAGTTGTGCCTCAAACACATTCCTAGCTTGGGTAACTGGATGCTATAAGAAACATGTATTCAACTCGTCACTGCTGTAAGGAGGTCTGAGAGACTGACTCACTCTTTTCCCACAGAGAAAACAAGCAGGTTCTTACATGTAGTTCCTGATAGAGTCAGGGAGGATAACAACACAGCGCTGACCTTCCTTCAGCTCTTTGGCAGCCTTCACGGCTACAGACATGGCACTTCCTGAGCTGCCACCTGCCAAAATGCAGATCGGAGGCAAAACTGTCAAACCGTAAGTGAAATGAGAAAGAATGAAAGAGAGGAGGAGAGAGAGTAGAGGAGTCCAGGGTGAGGATGACAGCTTCTGAAGGGGAAGGAGATCTCCCTGACCTGTAAAAGGCTTCAGGCTCCCACATGCTATTCAGAGAAATCCAAAGGATTCACTTCTGGCTCTTACCACACAGCAGTCCTTCCTCTCGGATCAGCATGCGTGCTGAAGCAAACGACTCCTCATCATTGCTCTTGTACCACTGGTCCACTGTCTGGGAAGGGGCAGGAAGAGAGAAACAAGGATCTATTTAAATGAGAAGGGCTAGGGGAGCTACACAACTAGTGTGAATTCAATCCATGCTCTTTGAGGTAACAGCTGCCCTACTGAGCCATGTGCCCCAAATGCCAAATGTTGGGGTTTTTTTTCCGAGGTAAGACAATCACATTAGCACAACAGGCTCCTTATTGAAACCTCACTGTGAGAACAGACTGTTGTGAGACAGCCATAAAGAGCAAACAGTTTTCTCCTCTCTTGGAGGGCTTGCCAGGGACAGAGTCTCTGCTCAGGGCATAGTCATACCGCTTTTGGCCAAGAGGGGCTGGGGTGCTTCGTTGGGGTTTTTTTTGATTGGTTGGTTGGGTTGCTGTTTTGGATTTTGTTGCTGTTTTTTTTTTTAAAAACAAACAAACAAACAAACAGGTACTGCGTTCTAGGAAAACGTTATCTGCTTACAGCATTTCCATCTAGCATTGTAAAAAAACCGTGGCCAGTGCAGAAGCCTTCCAAGGACTGCTTTTGCTGATGGAAAGAACAGGAATAGTTCTGTCTGCTAGCCCTCCCCTTTCAGCTCAAAGAAATACTTCCCCAAGTTTTTCCTCCACCTTTCACCTCACTTCTGCATCCCAACAGAGGGCAAAGGGCAGTAAACCAAGAAGCATGACTTACAGATCTATCCAACACTGTGGGGACAAAATCGTATCCGATTCCTTCCACTTCATACATCGTCTTGTCAGTCTTGTTCAGCTCTTCTGGTGTAGCAAGGATGGAGCCTTCAGGATCAACACCTATAATCTGGAGAAGCAGTTTCCACTTTGGCTACCATGACACGCTGCTCTCTGAGAACACAGCTATTTACTCCTGAGTGCTGGCCTCATTACACTGGCTGCACACACAGCCAAGCTAACAGCAATCTCATCTCCTATTCATTTCTTCCTGGCAACATTCACTTCCTCTGTGAGCAAAACGCTTTGCTGCTTCTGGCCCTTTGGCAAACCATCCCGTCTCCTCAGGCTGTGGACACTAAGCGAGGAGCACCACTTGTTCTACTTGGGTTTTGCTTGGTTTAAACAGAAGACAGGGTTTCCCCAAGACCACATTCACATGTCAGGCATCATTACAGCCGAGACATTTTGCACCAAGTGTTAAGTAGCTAAGTTTTATTTTGTTTACCACTTTCTGCCTGTGTAGGAAAATATTCACGATTGAAACATGATACCAACTTCTGTGAGGAAATCTAATACAGCACACAGGTAGACACACAGGTTGGTGTGTGCAGAGAAAATTTCACTTAGTAAAAACTCAACAGTTCCAGACAAGTTAGTGAAGGCACAGTCAGAGAGGAAACAGAAGGCTGCAGTACAAACCAGAGAAAGAAGTTTCTCAGACATCCCATGAAGGAATCTGAGGGCCAGTTTTCATCTGCTGAGCCAAACCTGAACTTCCATCACCAGTGAGACCAGAGCATGATGATTTCAGACAGTCTGAAAATCTTTCTTTGCTGCTCAGGACTATCTTCTAACTGAGAACATCCAAGAGCTTCCCGTAGAGACCCAGGGCCGGCTTGCAAGGAATGGGACGTGCCAATTGGAGCAGTTTGAGGTGTACCTCACTAAAGAGAAATGCTTTAGGCTTGCCACTTACTTTGCAACCTGGACACTTCTCCTTTAGCTTTCTGGAGATGCCAGTGATAGTACCTCCTGTGCCAGCCGTAGCCACCAGCATATCTATTTTTCCTGTTTAAAGGTGAGGGATAGAAGGCAGTTGTGAAATTTCCCTCAGAACGATGGATTAAAACCCCACTTAAACCCAAGCATGGGCTTTCTTTAACAAAAATGGGCAAGATCAGGCTCTTTGCTTCCCAAGAGCTGTGTTATGAGACCTACCTTGACACCACTTTGCTCAGTCCCCATTTATTTCAAAAATAGTTTTGAAATGTCTGTCCAATTGTCTGGCAAGGCACCAATTTGTGGTACATTGGGCAGAGCTGGAGGTGGCCCATAGAGCTAACACCTATGGTTTTCCTCTTACTGTATTTGCTGATGTAGATAACTCCTTCTTTAACTTTAACTAATATAACGGGCTGCTCATTTTATTTACTGCATGAGTGGTAGAACTGTGGGATGCGTATTCATTGAGAGAACTGTTAACACACTACTCTCATTTTCATGTGAAAAAAGTACTGTTTCAGTCATGAGCACTCACAGTGAGTACATGTGTGATACCTCTGTCACACCCTACAGTTTCCATGGTGCGTCCACACGACAGCTTTATTAATAAAAAAATACATTTTAAAAGGTCACCAACTGACACACAAAAACAAATGCTTATCAGCCAAAAGAATAACATGCCACCCAAGCAGGGGTATAAGCTCAGTAATAACTAAGTAGGGCTTGGCCTAGAAGGAAAAGTAAATACAAACAAGAAGTCTAAAGCTAGAACTCATCTAGACTCTCAGTTTGTGGGATGGTAGTTTGTTAAAATACACTCGTTTTAACTCAAACTTCAAGCCTGCCACAAAGACAAGTCAAATCCTCTGAACAGTTAGAGTTAATCTTGAGGGGGAGGAGACCCCTTCACATGGTCCTCACCCTAATGAGAAGGAATTTAATAGCTGATTTTCTTATTAGAGGGTCCCATTAGAAACTGTACTGTTTTATAAGGCAGGTCAGTAGCCTCCTATACGACTCCCTTCTACGGCAAATGCCTGCAAGGTAGGCTGCAGCATCACATTGAATGCCTCCAACAGTTCTCACATCAGTTCCTCATCTGGGTGAGTTAGCCCAGCTAAAGCTCTCTGCTGCCACAGCTCAGTCACTTCTGGTACTCTAACTCAGTTGCCTAGAGCTAACATGGAAGCAATCCCTGCAGAGTAAGAAGGTCTTACAGGTGACAACTGCACAGTTTGTACTCCTGAGCACTCCTAACTGAAGAAACTTCAAGTGTAATGGAGTATTTGGTTTGAGAATGTAAAAATACCTATTTCGCTATTAGTGATCAGAGAGAAACGACCCTGTTTGTTCTTTCACGCCACTCTCTAGCTATGTTGTTGGTTTTTTTTTTAAAAAGATATCTTAAGCGTGACTGCTTTCTCCACCTGATCACAAGCAGAGGAGTCTAAAAACCAAAGCATTCCTCTTTCATGGAACAAAAGTCATTACTACAATTACTGAAACAGCAAATAGAAACTCTAATGGCACACAACATACGTATGGGATTTGCTGGATCAAAACCCACGCATTTTTCAATCACTTCCGGTCCCATTCTCCAAGTATCAAACAATAACAGAATACTAGGGAACCGCTGAACAGGTGGTTAGCAGTAGAGTAAACATACCTTCACATTGCTGCAGGATCTCTTCAGCTGTAGTGTCATAGTGTGTCAGGGGGTTGCTGGCATTACGGTACTATATTGAAAGACAGAATAGCCATTAAGTAGACTGGAAAGACAAAATTCACACTGTGAGGCAATTCAAGAACATGACAAACATTCCCCAAGCCTCACAACAGCTACATATACTCTTTCCAGATTGCTTCTTTATCTATTATATGGACCTTCCGACCCAAACTATTCCATGATTCTATGTCCTAGGCAGAATGTCCAAGAGGAGATATAACCTTCCACCCTCCAATGCCAAGATCAGTCCTGTCTGTGGACCAGTTTCTTTTAGAAACATGACCCTTGTACACTTTCTTCCACACCTGACTGCCAATTCAGTGGAAAAAGCCACCCGTACGTTTCTTGTTCTGCAAACATAGGCTTGTTGCTGCCCTCTAGTGACTACCAAAGTTTGCTACTCTACAGAACGGTGATGGCTCAACTACAGCTCCAGACCTGCGACCCCTTTTCCTCCAGACACACGCCTACGCTGTTGAACGTTTAGCCAAGGACGACTAAGGAACAAGGCTGCAATGCCTCCTCCCGTGCTATGCCTGCACCTCTGAGACCTTGGCTCTTACCTGGTCTAGTATATGTGCATTGGGGATTTCATTCTTCAGTCTCCACGCTACTCCCACGTGAGATTCGGGAGAATCAAATCTGGCAGTAGTGGGGGTCCTCACAATCTCAGCACCCAGAGCTCTCAGGACATCCACCTGTAGCAAACAAAGGTGGTCATAAAATCCCAACGCACTCACCCAGCACAGAGACTTCATTGGGATGCAGGGGAAAGAAAACCTTCCATCTGGTCTGCAATAGCTTCCTTCGCAGTTCTCCTAAACCCCAACATCCCACCACTAAGCTGTAACCAAATCCAAATCTTTAATGTCATTTGATCTTAATTAAGCTCTACTTGGGAGCTAGATGTCAAACTCCTGTTTCTATTCTAGGTCTTCAGGCCTGTAGGGACTATTGCTACACATCAAGAAGCCGCATTCGGGCAAAACACCATCTCCTTTTATGCCAGTCGTATATGCTCTGCACTCCAACACGGCTACAGCCCAGTATTTTATGTCGAAGTACAGATTATGTATATTTACCTCCTCCTTTGGACACAGGCAGCAAAGGAGATCCTCCAGGGCACTATGCAGCACTCAACTGCTATGAGGACAAGAAGGTTTATGACACTGAGCTAAGGCAGGGCCTGTCTTCAGAGGGCAGGCACTCGGTGCTGCGTGGCACATGGCAATGGCCATGTGGTACCTCTTCCTCCAGAGCAGGTAAGCACAAGTAATGGGTATAGGCCTTCAGGGGACACGGTTCTCGTTTGTGCCACTGCCTTTCAGTTGGAACGCTGGAAGCGTTTGAACTGAGATAAGTGGTTCTGCTGTAAGCGATTTGCTGCCTCAGCTGAAACACAGGGGATCTCTTCTTCTGGCTGCAGGTGCAGCACCACCTTTGTGAAATGCAGGACAGGGCTTGCCCTAGAGCTCGATGTTTTGTGTTTTCCACAGTGAAGGTCAGTGGACGTTACCCAGGTGGCTTTTCCTTCCCCTTTGTTGCTGTGGTGACGCAGCTCGGATGCTTGCCCATACGCTGCAGTGTGACCGGAGGAGCTCACAGGCTCCCTCATGTCCTTGCTCAGCCCAGGGCAGAACAGAGCAATATTCAAAGCTTCAGCATTGCCTTACTTTGTCCTCCTTTGCTCAGTAAGTGACAGCTAACCCAGGGGCAGGTAGTTACTTCAATATGGTAGGTAAATCTCAAGTTCCCTTGACATTTGTATTTAAAACAGTTATGACAGTTTTCCAAGTGACAATGCTGTGGGGACGGATCTTAAACACATTTCTGTCCATGGCTAGCCAGCCTGGATTTCTCTTGGCACTGGCAACAGGCCTTCAGTGGAGTTCTGCCTGGCCAGTGACTTGGAGGGCAAGAGCCTTCACCTTCATTGCTAAAGCCACAGCGCTCATCTGCACCAGGAATTCTGCAAGTGCAAACAAGCTTATTTTTTACTTCTTGAAAATAAAAGCATATCTGACCTTCTCCATACTCATTTTCTCCGGCATCACAATTATACAGCGGTAACCCTTCACTGCTGCAGCCAAGGCCAGCCCAATTCCTGGAAGCAAGCAAAGACATGTAGAGCATACAGTGAGAAGCAACAAAGAACAAAACCCACAATGCTAGCTTTGGCATGCCCTGGCTTTAATCAGGTTTTCACCAGAGACTTGAGTACAGTGTCTCTAGAGGGGTGGCAAAGGGAACATTTCTGGCTACTGAGGAGAACTGGATTTACAGATGCTGCTAGTTCTTTGAGGATCACAGCCAACACGAAGTTTAGTCAAGACCAGGGAAACTTGACATACGCAAACTACTAGCTTTACCACATGCACATCATCTTCCTCCTGTCTCACACACTTCATTTTTACAGAAATGGATGGATGGGATCCACCCAAGGGCACCAAGGGAGCTGGCAGCAGTGCTTACCAAATCACTTTCCTTCATTTACCAGCAGTCCTGGCTAACCAGGGAGGTCTCAGTCGACTGGAGATTAGCAAAGGTAACACACATCTTCACGAAGGGCTGGAAGGAGGATTCAGGGAACTACAGGCCTGTCAGTCTGACCTCGGTGCCAGGGAATGTTATAGAGCAGATCATCTTGAGTGCCATCACGCGGCACGTACAGGACCACCAAGTGATCAGGCCAGTCAGCATGGGTTTATGAAAGGCAGGTCCTGCTTGACTAACCTGATCTGCTTCTATGACAAGGTGACTCGCTGAGCGGATGAGGGAAAGGCTGTGTGTCGTGGGTTAGGCCGCTCCAGCAACCGAACCCCACACAGCTGGTCACTCACCCTCCCCCACCCCCAGGAATGAGGGAGAGAATTAAAGGATAAACGAGAAACCCGTGGGTTGAGATAAGAACAATTTAATACAGATGATTTAATACACAGTGTAGACGCTCACCACCCCCTCTTATCCGCAGCCCGTCTCATCCCGAAGCTGCAATCCCGGACGAACACGAGGCCCCGAAATAGAGAGGGGCAGAGAGAGAGAGAGAGTACTCCAAGACTGGGAGTACTGGGAGAGAGAGAAAAAAAAGGCAATAGAGCAAAAGCGCAGAAGCGCAAAAGAGCAGAAGCGGCGGAAGAGCCAAAGCGCGAAAGCCCTTCTTCCCAGCTGTCCCTCACTTTTATACTGGGCATGACGCTGCATGATATGGAATACTAATTGGCCAGTTTGGCCCTCAATCTTAAGTTCCACCACAAATCACAAGGGGAATCGTGGCCTCCTTGTCCTGGCTATGCTTTCCCCCTTATCCCGCCATGCTTCTGCACTCCGGCACACTGAAAAGTCCTTGGCCAACTACAAACATCAGCTTGCTATCAACATTCTTCTCAGAGCGAGCCTCTGAGTAAAACCAAAACATGAAGCTCTTCTAGCTGCTAAAAAGAAGAGCTAACACTGTCCCAGCTAAAACCAGGACACTGTGCATGTGGTCTACCTAGACTTTGGTAAAGGCTTTGCCACCCTTTCCCACATCATTCTCCTAGAGAAACTGATTGCTAATGGCTTGGACGGTTGTACTCTTTGCTGGGTAAAAAAAAACAGGCAGGATGGCCAGGCCCGAAGAGTTGTCATGAATGGAGATCAATCCAGTTGGTGGCCAGTCACAAGTGGTGTTCCCCAGGGCTCAGTAGTGGGGCCAGTTCTGTTTAATATCTTTATCAATGATCTGGACGAGGGGATCGAGTGCACCCTCAGTAAGCCTGCAGACAACACCAAGTTGGGTGGGAACATTGATCTGCTTGAGGGAAGGAAGGCTCTATAGAGGGATCTGAACAGGCTGGATGGATGGGCCAAGGACAATTGTATGAGATTCAACAAGGCTGAGTGCTGGGTCCCGCACTTGCAACCTCATGAAATGCTACACACTTGGGGAAGAGTGGCTGGAAAGCTGCCCAGTGGAAAAGGACCTGGAGGTGTTGGTCAGCAGGCAGCTGAATATGATCCAGCAGTGTGCCCAGGTGGCCAAGAAGGCCAACAGCATCCCAGCTTGTATCAGAACTAGTGTGGCCAGAAGGACTAGGGAAGTGATTGTCCCCCTGTACTCAGCACTGGTGAGGCCACACCTCAAACACCATGTTTGGTTTTGGGTGCCCAGACATTGAGGTGCTGGAGCATGTCTTAAGAAAGGCAATGAATCTGGTGAAGACTCTAGAGCACATGTCCTATGAGGAGCAGCTGAGGGAACTGAGGTTGTTTAGCCTGGAGAAAAGGAGGCTCAGGCAAGATCTTATCACTCTCTACAACTACCTGAAAAGAGGTTGTAGTGAGTTGGGTGTCGGTCTCTTCTCCCAAGCAACAAGTGATAGAATAAGAGGAAACGGCCTCAGGTTGCACCAGGGGATGGTTAGATTGGATATTAGGAAAAACATCTTCTCCAAAAGGTTTGTGAAGCATTGGAACAGGCTGCCCAGGGAAGTGGTTGAGTCACCATCCCTGAAGGTATTTAAAAGACATGCAGTGTGGCGCTTAGGAACATGGTTTAGTGGAAGACTTGGCAGTGCTAAGTTAGCGGTTGGACTCAATGATCTCAAATGTCTTTTCCAACCTAAACGATTCTCTGATTTTAAGTAATTTGGGAAAGGAATGAACTTTAAGCTCAAGACGACTAGAGCAATCATTTTGATACTGTCAGAAGAGCATTAGAGCTTCTATGGACTCAGTTCAGCATTAAATCCCTAGTTTGCAATGGGCTAAAACTAAGTTCTTTCTAAAAAGACATGATTTAGATGCTGTGTGTGATTGAGGTTCTAATGCACTACGTCAACTTGCTATCACAGCAAAGTACCTTGACTGTTAGAGACAGACACCTCATTTCTACTTTAAAAATCTGCACCTCCAGCCTGATTTCTGCCTTCCAGCTTGTCACTGTCTGCCTACCTGAAGAGCTAAGTTCAGAAGTGCCTTCCCCATAGCAGAGCAGCGTACACTTGTTATCAAATCACCTCTCTGCTGGATAAGCTAAACAGATCAAGTCAGTTGATATGTGTCTGGAGACAGGCTACATGGCACCTCCCCTGCTGTTTTGGGTACCAGGCACAGAACCACCAACACATGCCCATGACAATGCCTCACAGGCAGTTTACCCTACACAAAGACTTGCTTGTTCAAAGCTGGCTCTGTTTCTCCACAGTGCCAAATTGTATAGGGGTGAACAAAAATAAACCTTTAACTGTTCCTGTAAGAGAACCATAACTCAAACCTCAAGTAATTCAAGTAGTATTTAAATATTTGGGAGGGGAAAAAAAAAACCAAACGCAAAACTTCTCCCAGTATATTATAGATAAATATGGATACCCAATTAAAAAAAAATTAAAAAAAGACAGCAAGGGCCTTACTAAGGCCAAAGACTGAAGAGAAGCCATCCAGCACTCTCCCTTATGGTCTGTGATGAAGAAAGCATTTTGAGACCTGAACTCTAACACTTTGTACTTTCTGCTACTGACCTGGAAATGCTGCAAACATCAAAACAGGACTTTGGCTGAGGGAGAAGTGGGATGCAATGCAGGGAGGGCAAAAATGTAATACATTAGCTCTCACACTTAACATACTCAGTAGCTCTGAGCAGTAGCCTAGAGCAAAAGCCAGTTCTCTCAGGTTACTGTCTGCCCTGGTCTTTGCTTGTACAGGAAAAGAGATGGTTTTCTGAAGTAATTGTCCTGTATCTCCTTCAGTTCTGCCTTCTTTTGGATTCTGTGGCAAGGAGGATCATTTATCACGTACTGACCCAGACAACAGGATGTCATAGCATGATCTCAGATACTGGAGGAATGTAATATATACGGATAATTTCCACTACATGCCATTGTTCAGGTGATGCAGGTATAACTAGTCATAAGGGCTTCAGTTGCACTGCACTCCCCACAGAGCAGCTGCTGAGTAAATGGCAACAGATATGACATCCCAGTTTTCTGCTGCAGGCAGGGTAACTAGTCACAGACCAGCTCATCATCCCAGTGTGGTGGTGCAACCCCTCCACCCCTTTCCCAGGCCACTCGGTGCGATTCCCCCTTTTTCTAGGCTGCACGTCAGCCTGGGATGAGTTGGAGGGGGACTGCAAAAGGGTGGACCCCCTGAGCGCACCAGGCCCTCACCTCCCCTATCACTTGACCTGGTACATCTGTACCTGGGTTGTGGTTGAGGAAGGGTGATGCCAGCAACCCCAGAATTGGCAAGCTCGGGGGTGCGCAACTGGTGGAAAATACCAGAATATTTCACCATCTGAGTTGGGCCGAAATGGAAAAGTACCTGACAAAAGCCAATTATCTCAGACCCTACAAATAGCGATTCCAAACAAGACCCTTGGAGCTCTCCTGGATCACAGCGGGCTGTGACCAGCATCTCCCCGGAGCTGGGACACCTCTCAGGTACCAACTCCACGGATCATCTGCTGACAAAACTGACAGAAGGCCAAGGTGAAGTACCCTCCTCGAGTCTCAGTTATCGTCTGTTGAGGAATGCTGATACATTGTGAGTATTTACTGTAAACTTGAGAAGGAAACTTTACCTATAGGCTTGCCTCTTCCATCTACCTCTATACTTATCAATGTGTTTGAATATACATGTTTGTCTTCACGAATGTGGATGTCTATATTTCACTAGATCAAATATTTCTCTCTGCATGCTTTGTGTTTTATACATATGTAGGTACATATATTTTGATTTAGGATACCTTGTAGTAAGTTAGTGTGAATCTTGTCATTTTCAAATCTGTAATTAAGTCACTGTTCTAATTATAACATATCCTACTGAATTGTCTTGTTAAACTTTAAATTGGTTAGTGATCAAGTACTGCTAAAATTTAACCTTTGACTTACCTCATATCATTAATCAATCTGGAATTGCTGATAAATCATAACCGTATTAAAACATTCCACCCACAACATCCAGTCCCTCCATTAACAAAGACTGGACTCGATCAAAACAGCAAAAGAAAGATTTGCCTGGACTGTGTCTATTAGAAGGCGACAATGGATGCCCAGGAAAGAGTTTAAGAACAGGACAAGACACCTCATCAGAACACATCAGGCAGGAGAGTAGCTTGTAGCTCAGCTCAGACGCCTCCTCGGAGGAGGCAGTATATTTTATATTTAACTAGCTCACAGAGGAGCATTCCAGATACGTTCACTCCCCACCAGTAGAACAGCTTTAACAGATGTACAACAGCTTTGACACAGGAGCCCAGAGTTAACTCCAGTCTGCTCAGATCATCAGATGCTCTGCCCTGGACCCCAACTAGTGGGACTGTTCCTTCCTCCAGCCCTCCAAGGAGGAGATGCTGACCCAAATGGAATCCATTGAAAATCTAGGTGTGCAGGGGCTGTATCAGCCAACAGTGCTGTAGGGATGCAGCTCATCTGCCATCTCAACTGCACCAAGATGGGAAAAAGTCTGTTTTTCAAACCAGGCCCATCTCACCTGACAGAGGGACCATGGGACTTCCCAAACAGAACAGGAAGATCCAGATTCACACCAGTCTTTTGGTGCTTTTTTTCCAATAATTTCGGTCAGACTATAATTCCTGAACAGGACCTAAAGACCCTAGAGAATCTGGCCTAACATTTCTTATCTTTTAAAGCAAAGGGTCCCTGCAAATTTAGCAGACCTCCTTCCCAGCTGTTCTGGTCAGCATAAGACACTGCAGAATTGTTCCTTGTGTGAGATGGAAGAGGTGCTGCTCCCTAAATCATGCAGGCAGGAAGGGATCCCCTTTCTTCCTTGCCCAGGCAGCCTCCATGCTCCAATCTCAAGTCTGTCTCTTCCACGAAAACCACCACAGCATTATCCCCCCACGCTTTGTAGGGTCTCTCCATCCCCTACCTGTGTTTCCAGAGGTTGGCTCTATGATGGTGTCCCCGGGCTTCAAGATCCCATCTCTTTCAGCATCCTCTACCATCCTCAGGCTGATGCGGTCCTTCACACTGCCCCCAGCATTGAAGAACTCACATTTTGCCACTGGAAACAAAGAAATCAAGCAGACTTCTTTAACAGTAGTCATTTGCTAAACAGGCTGCTGATCCCCAACATATCTGCAACAGCAACTCTGTCAACATGTCTGCCCAATTGACCTCCCTACTTTACAACACCAGAGATGGGGATTCAGTTCAACAGCATCTCCACTGTTACGGGTCACGACAACAAAGCAAGTTTGGTACTTGATGCTGGCCACAGAAGTTAGGAACCTATACTCTGTCAAAATATGACCCTCCTTTCATCTTTGCTCTTTATTACAGCCCAGTCATTAGGATAATGACTCTTCCAGTGCAGTAGCATGGGAGAATAGAACTGTACCAACACGACTTGCCTCTTCCTGCTACATTCTCCAGCCAAAGAGTTTCTGATCAAACTGGAAGCTTCTCCCCTTGTTCAGCCTACACTTTTGCTTCAGTACTCCCAGCATTAATCCCTTCATGGTGTTAAACACCACCTTTCGGGACTCTGATGAGAGCCTCCAGATATCTCCAGTAAGGTTGAGTTTAAAAAAAACAACCAAAAAAACCCATTCACCAACAGTTTCGTCCCTTTCATCATTTTTGATGATCTTTAGTGATAACTGCAAAACTTGTATAAAAGTTTTTTAAAATTAAAAAATTATTTTCTATGAAAAAAGTTTTACTTTTTCTACAGAAATGGAAAAGCTGCAGAAAACATCCTCACGAAGTACAAATTGAAAGACGTTTTAGATGACCAAAAGCTAAAAACCTGAAAATCTGCCAAAGAAAGAGAGGAATTTTTCTCACCATTTTCTGCAGGATACCTGCACTCCTCCTATACCCAGGTTACATGACACTACTAACCAGAACAACCCAAGTTTCTGAAACAGTGTTTCTGATTTTGATTTTCTGTCTGCAGCAGTACTCACAGAGTTCACACTTGAGCCCGTACTGCTTCCCAATCTTGTTGATCCGCACCATGGGTGTGTTGCCAACTTTATTCAGGATGCTTGGCATGATCTTCAGAGGCTCTGGCCTGATACACATAAAAGCAAAGTCAGTGTATTCACAGAAGGGGCCACAGACAGGTCACACAGAAGCAACAGAGCATTTCCAATGCTTTTTATTTCATCCAGTTTTCTCTCTCTCCTTTTTCAGGCTAGTTATTTTAGATACTTTAGTTTAAAAGAACATCCATTGGATACAGATTCACAAAACATCAAGCCCTGGATCCAAAACAAGAATTAATCAGACATCAAGGCAAGTGCTGAGGCAAGAATTAAGTGATCTGCACTTCTTCCTGGCATGAAGTAGCCTAGCACTGCTCAGAGTCAGCTACTCTACAGGCAAAAGGCATTAAAGTGCAATCTTTCATCTAGTCAGGGAACTGCTTGCCATGTTACTTAAAATAAGTTAGTTCCAGTCCATGCAGTTTCACATCTTTGGCGTAAGGCCCCTTGTATGCTTAATCTGGGTTCTTAGCTCTGCTTATACATGGAAATTAAGACACACCAGCACATCTACACATTAAACTGCATCAACTTAAATCAGTTGTCTTTTGTTAAATCCACGCGGCTCTGAGGGGACCTGGACTAGTGCTATACTGAAAGTCAGCTAATAAAAGTAATACTTACAGAGTGGTATGATGATGGGGGGAGGCAGAAAGGGGTTTCCCAAGCTTCCATGTGCATTTGCTAGGTGTATCAGGGCGGATCCACTCCCTTTCTTTCTCATTAGCCTTGCAGTTCTCATTGTCCATCCCACCAGGGAGAACATATTTGTCAGGTGCATGAGGGCATGAGTTTGTGTCTGGCTTCTCCTGGGAAGGAAGTGTAGGCATTTCATCCTTAGCGGAGGGGGGAGGGAAAAAAAAGGAAAAAAAAAAAAGGAGAAAAATACAAGAGAGGGGAAAAAAACAAACAAGAGAGAGAGGGATTCGTATGCCCTGCTGTAACAAGGTCAGAGCATCTTTTGAGACTATTAAAGTTATTCAAGTTCTGCACCATGGCAAACCACCCATTCACATCATTGCCCCGCTTACGATAGCTAAAAATCATGTTACTAATAAGTCCTTATTCTTGTTTCTGTCCCTTCACCAACACATCTATTTCCAGTCTAATGTTTCAGCATGCAGTTTTTCTGAGAGAAGTCTGAACAGAAACTACTCTGGTGGCAATTTTCAAGACCGCAGTATTGCCTATAAGCCAAAAGGTGCCATGGCAACAAGTAGCTTCCAACACCCAAGAATAGGTTCTTCCACTGACTACAAGAGATCCTGTTACTGTATCCAAGACCCAGGTATTAGGGGAGAGAGTAGAGTACGTCCCAATTAGATTAATCCCATCCTCAAGTGTCCCAGTCTTGTTTTTCCCTTATATGGAAAAAGGTCACAACAAATGGGTATTTTAATGGTCAGCTGATCTTTCTGAAATACTGTGAAGGTGGGAAAGCATTTCAGCATAATTTTGATTTGCCAAATCCTTATCACCAAAACAAGAATCCTGCACTGCAACGCTGACTGCAAAAGCTCAATACAGTGCCCTGCATGAAGATAACTCCAACACACTGGTAAGTAGCCTCCATAAACATCAAGAAAATGAGGCTCATCTCACAAGAGAAAGCCCTCTCACATCAAAAAACAGCTCGCTGCAGTAAAACCTCTTCATTCCAAGCAGAGAGGAACAGAGTGAGGCTACTTGGTGACTAATTAGCAAATGGTGCCAAAAGACTCTGCATTGTCTCCTGTGGTCATGAAGGAGAATTCTTCCAGAAAGATCACTGGTTTCAGTAGCATCTACCTCCACAGCATTCCAGAAAAAAAAAACAAAACAGAAATCCCTCTGAAAACAGATAGGGCTTTGTCAAATTCTGGTGACAGAAATATAGGCAAACACTATTCCCCAAAGACCAATGAGTACCTTAAACACAGAAACAGGTCCTTCTGATATCAACTCCATGTTCTTTGGTGATGGTGACAGTGCAGTAGACTGGACTATCTTCAGGAGACCGAGTACTGTGGATCACAAGACTGGAACCCTCTTCAAAGCTGCGGATCATGCAAGTTAGAAAAAAAAAAAACTATCAGGAAATAGTTTCTCATAGGGGCAAGACACATGTCCAGCTTTCACAAGGGAAAGAAAAGAAGCTGCAAAACAAAGTGAAGATGACTTGTATAAACAAGATAAAAAAAAAATAAGTTCTGCAGTAAAGGCATTGCCCAAGACCAATGGAGGGGGTCTTCTGATGCTGTTCTTCCCATGTTACCTAATCTCTCTGCCCTGGCCTCCACAGCTCAGGTCCAGTAAAGTAAGCAGAAAATGTCTCTATTGGACTGTCTTCAATTCCATAAGCTTGACAGCCACATAAAGTAATAGAAAACACTCCAGTCCACAGCACAGATACTTCTAGAGACACCAGGGATGAAAGGGCTTCATGGGGCCACCACCAAAAGACCCTGTACACAGCTCAAGAAAAGGCTCTGTACAGGAACATTTGCAGAGGCCTCTCTACTGTTGAGAAGACACAAATCTCACTAGTTCCTCTCAAGACTGAATCAGTGTTGAACACAAAATTACAGTGATGCTGGATATAACACACACAGAGCAAACACTTCAACCACAAGAAAGCCTTCCAGCAGGCTTTTTGTTTCGGAAACTAGTAAATATGAAATGGAAGCAGTAAGTACATTTCTTCTACTCCAGCCAGTTGTTCACAGAGCCTGCATGCCCCTACAGCTAGCTTCCTTTCCTTCTATTAAAGGCAAAAAACTGGCTGAAGTCTTGGAAGGCATGGAGTGGGTTTTTTTTTCCCCTAATACTTGTTTTTCTCATCACCATTTTACAGCAGGATTCATGGCTCTTTCCATTACTGAATTGTCGTAGGCGTGGAAAGGGTCCCTGGCCTCATCCTCCTTCTTCTGACAAATGCACACAAAACAGATACAGCTTAGATCAGGCAGAGTTGATCTGGTGACACATTGAAAAAAAAAAAAAAAATCTGAATCACAGGATCAGTGAACTTTAGCATTTGATCCTCCAAGTTAACACGCAACATTAACTGCTACAGCTTTATGCACACCAATTCCTATCTTGCATGCTGATTTGACGAAAATGCCTAAAGGCATTTAAACTACCCTCCTTTAGGGAAAAAAAAAAAGCCTCTGAACATGTCAGCTTTCCAGATTAAGGCTTGAAATAATTCTCCTTCTGGATGTAAAGACACCAAAACGATACCTTTCTACTTTATCTAGGTTAATACATGCCCAAGAGCCAAGATGGGCTGCATCCTGTCCTAGACTACTGACCAGGACTAGACTGAGAGATGCCAGTCCAAGAATGCTAATATCCCATAAATATAAATAATCTAACACTAACTAGTCTTTGGTACCAGAAATTAGCTTACTTCTAGTTCCAGAGTGAAACAGCCTCCATTTCTCTTTCTAAAAGGTACCTGGTTCACAGTTCAGAATATCAGCACTTTTTTCAGTAAAGAAAAAATACTGAAGAAGTTTCAACTCTTTCTATGAGCCAAATCCACATGCTCCTTCAGACAGCTGGCATGCAATACTGGACATAGACAACGACTGCTTCTGCTCACAGGCAACACTTAATATTTACAAAGTTCATCTAATAATGGTACCTTGCTGCCAAAGGATCAAACCATTTCAACATGCAGGAAGAAAATAGCAAGAAGTTATAGACAGGAAAGAGCAGATTTTGTTCATCTTCTAGGTTCTCATAAAACAGGAGTGCAAAAATCTTTAAAAGCTTTAAATCACCAATCCTCAATGTCCTTCAAGAGGGTCCAAAAATTGAGGAGAAAGGGAGAGAAATTTGTTGCAGTAAAACTTTCAGAGGTTTCAGGAAGTAAGTACTTGTTCTTTGTATTGAGGGCAGGAAAGAAATGAATGTGGCTCTCTTCAAAAGCTGCCTTTTGGAGAATTCTCTCTGAATTGGGCAAGACAATACCATCTAATTTCCTTTATTGTAAGACAAAAAGTGCACAACCCACTAAGAGCAACAGCCATCACCTCTTGAACTAGAAACAGCAGAAATGAAGGAAAAGCTATATTTATTGCCTTCAAATAAGCTGTGAGATTCTCTCATGTGTCTAGAGGAATGGCAATACTCTGATGTTTGATCACAGCTTCAATAACGGGGCTAGAACTTTGAGCAAAACCAAGAAGAGTAAGAAAAAGCTAACCATAAGCATTGCTAACAAAATCCTGTCACCAAATACTAACATTAAGCAACATCATTCATTGGAAGTAACACAAGCTCCTGTTCAATAAATCCCTTTGAATCCTTTTAGTAGGCATGATTTTAAAAAAAAACATATCCACCCAGCCCAAAGTAGATAGATATGCATACATACATTTATAAAGTCAAATTCTAATCATGCTAGTAGAGAATCAGTCTCAGCTATGGCCAACCTAATATCTTAGGGTTTTGAAGGAGGACAAAATCCTAGGACAGACTTGGTTGTTCGCAAGGGGGAATTCTTACTATAGCACTCAGTAGAGACATAAGAGTGTTGGCAATGGCTTACAGTTTTACCCAAGAAACAGATCAAGAGCCCAAGAGTGACTTGTCATGTTCAGAACCAATAGGAAGACCTGAGATCTTTGAGCTCCTTCAGTGCTACTGATGAGCTTCCTGACACACCACCCAAAACATCCAACTGCTGCTTCCAGCCCTAGATGATGTAACTTCAGCAACACAGGGGGCAGAGGTGGTCAGGCTAGGACATTCAAATTACCCTCATGATCCTGTCAACAGGCCCAAATCAGGCCATAGGAAGCTGGTGCATCTTTCTACTGGGGAAATCTTTGGGGAACAAAGGAAAGGGCGTGAACAGAAATCACGAAAACAGAGGATGACAGCAACTTCTTCACCACCCTGACCCTCTTCTCAGGCTTTCTTCTGGGAATGCAGACTGGGGAGATAGGACAGGAGAATGACAACTCTGCTACTCTAACTGCAACTGATTATTGTTCAGAAGAGTTTGAGGGAGATAAGCTGCAGGAAGAGTCGCCCATCTTCAGGAAAGAAATTCTGTCAGCCTGAATTTAAGTTTGCTGTAAAAGGAAACACTCCCATAGCTTGCTGGGGGTGTGGGCAGAGTCTAACTAGAAAAGCCTGACTAACTTCTGCCATTATGTCTGCAGAGCACATGAGGCAGAAAAATCAGAAAGACAATTTACAAAGTCACTTAAACCCAAGTCATGAAGGAGACTGGGACATAGGCAGATGTATGAGAGCCAGAAAGCCTCACAGACAAGGCTCACATCTCTAGATCCATCTCCACAGGGAACCCAAAACCTAGGCTATTTCTCAACTCCTACAGAACAGGATTGAAGGCCAGTGAGTGAAATTAATCCCCACACAGACTGAGCTGAACTTACTCCATAGATACATTAGGAGCTACAGTTTCTAAGGCTGTTTACAGTATATGATGTCAGCACTAATGCAGACACTTAAAGAGTATCATACATGCGAGAACCTAATTAAGGTGAGTATTGTGTGAAGCAGAAATGAAGCAGTCTAAAAGGCAGGTGTAAGAGGTGAATCAGAGAGAGATGCCCCAAGGGCTGACTACTCAGCAAGAGATGAGATAACAGGATTCCATTATGCTGCAGCCTGAGAAGGAAAACTTTGATGTTAAGGAGGTACTTTACTCTGTGAACAAGTAAACCACTACAAACCAGTTGTTCTGCTCACTCTGAGTATCCCAGGGTCCTAGAGAATTTTAGGATCTTTACAGGTGACCAGACGTAGCAGTATCCAGCCAGCCTTTGGAAGCTGTTTGGAA